CCCGGCTTGGATGCTCCAGGCCAGTCAGAGCTCGGCCCTGCTTAGTCCTTTCAATGGGAGACCACCAAGGAAGTCCAGGGTCGCTCTGCAGAGGCAGGCAATGGAGCGCACCACCTCTGCTACTCCCGCGCCTTCCGAACCGCTGCCACTCGGCGGCATTTTACACGCCCGACTTAGTTGCATTTACTTCCGAGTAAACCAGCCGAGGATCGGGAGCTCTGAGTCTAGCCGTGGCTACAGGCCCGAGAGCCCGGGCTAGTTTTGCTCTCCAGGGCTCGATTCGCGGCCGAAGGAAGAAACGAGGAGGGAGGTCCGGGGGCACCTTCCAGACCGAGCACCTGTATTCCTGTCTCCGGGGGAGCTGGGTTCCCTCATGCTCTGCCTCGCTGGGTGGTTGTGAGAGTCAAATGGCGCAGGAGAGAGACGCATTCATTTCCCCCGAGGGCCTTGACGGAAGGCTTTCCGTCCAGTGTGCTTTCATGCATCAGATGGACTGAGCGCTGCTTCAAGACAGCTGCATGCCGAAATGAAATGAGTTCGTCTCCCAGAGGCCGCTGGACTGGGTAGCAAAACCAGTGAATGGGCTCCGCATTTTTCTAGATCGGCCTGGACAAAACTAGATCTGAACCATGTTTTTGCTCACCCCCCCCCCCAGGCCTCCTAATAAAATGTCAGCCAAGTTTCAATCGCCCACCTGGGACTATCTCCTGCCTATTTATTTAATTCATTTGTACCCCGCCTTTCTCCCAAACGGGGTACCCAGAGCGGCTTGCACCCTTCTCCTCTTCTCCATTGGACTCTCACAACAACCCCAGGAGGTAGGCGAGCTGGGGAGGGCCTGACTGGCCGAAGATCCCCTAGAAAGTTTTCCTGGCGGAGTGGGGATTCGAACCTGCTGGTTCCCCCCCCCCCCAGATCTTCCATGGCACCACCGGGGGACGCCCAGCCACTAGTCCAAAGTTTGAGTCCGGTGGCACCTTGAGGACGACCAACAAAGTGTTCTTCTGGGCACAAGCTTCCTTGCGCCTTTCCCTCTGGCTATAAGTTTACTTGCTGGTCTTCAAGGTGCCCCCGGACCCAAAGCTTTGCGCTGCTGCTTCAGTTCATCAAGGCGACCCCGGCCCCGGATCTTCCGGGTCCTAGTCCGACCCTCGTGAGCCCTGCACGCTGGAGAGCTGGCCCGTCCTCGTCCAGGCGAGCGCCCAGGTCTTGCAGCAGGAGCGGAGGTCCCCCGCTGGCTCTCCGAGAGCAGGGGTGTCCGGGCTGGGGCGGGGCCGGGCGGGCCGGGCGCGGCGGAGGCTTAACGCAGCTCTTGTGTTTCTCCCATCAGGATAGTCATTGCAACGTGACGCCCTTGTCCTTTCAGGTGCAGGCGCAGCTGCAGCTGGACAGCGCCGTGGCGCACGCGCACCACCACCTCCACCCGCACCTGGCCGCGCACGCGCCCTACATGATGTTCCCGGCGCCGCCCTTCGGCCTGCCCCTCGCCACCCTGGCCGCCGAGTCCGCCTCCGCAGCCTCCGTGGTGGCGGCGGCCGCGGCGGCCAAGACCACCAGCAAGAACTCCAGCATCGCCGACCTCAGACTCAAAGCCAAAAAGCACGCGGCCGCCCTGGGCCTCTGACTCTGCCGCGCCCTGCCCACCCCCCGGCCGCCGCCGCCGCCGCTCCCGGGAGCCGCCTGGGCACGTTGCGGGGCCTGCCTGGGTGCCCCCCCCCCCTCCGTAAGACTCGACTCTGAGCAGAGACCTTGACGCGCCCCGAGGGGCACCAGACCTTTCCTGGTTTTGTTTTCTGCGCCGCTGAAAAAGACAAAAAAAGGACAAATGTGAAAGACCGAGCGAATGCAAAAAAGAAAAGAAAAGAAAAGGATTTGCTCGACCGACCAAGATGGTGTTCATTGAGAGGAGGGGGGGATAGAAAAGGGCGATCGACAGGGGAGAGACTTTTTTTAAAAAAAGGGAAAAAAGAATCGAATGTGTGTATGTTTAAAGGACTCGAGGTAGGGGGGGAAAGCCCTCCTGCTCCCAAGAAGAAGAAACAGCGAGAGAGACCGGAGGGGAGAGAGATCCTTATTTAAAGAATTAGATGAAATAGACACGCAGCTGGGAAGTTCACAGGTTTTGAAACTGACCTCGTTCTGCGAAGTTCACTTTAATACAAGAAATTTGATAAGAGAGGCGGGCCTCCTTTCACGTCGCATCAGATACTTGAGTTTAAACAGTCACAGACTGGAAACGGAGATGAGAAGGAAAGAAAAAGAAGCATTTTTTTAAAGGAGGGAGGGGGGAAAAGAAGATTAAAAACGGAGG